CTGGATTCATTAGGTCTGGGATGGCTTCTGAGAATGTGCATTCCCAGCAAGTTCCCAGGTCATGCTGATGCTGCTGGTGTGTGGAACTACTGACTTTTATCCGGCACACAGTAAACTCGCTGTAAGTGTCCCATGTGCTATGGGTATCTTCAACATCATCATCACTGATATTGTTGTCTACCTGATGGCTTTCATACTCATCCTTCATCACCCAGCTCAGAGGCCACCTCCTCTCAGTAGTTTTCCCAAATCGCCTGCCTCAAACAGAAAGAATTGTTCTCCCACCTGGGTTTCCTAGCATTTTGTGTGTAGAGCAGCACATCGCCTGATAGACACTGCCCGAGAAGTGTTGGTATGAACTCTTTCGCCCCATCCTCTGCCCATGCCCTGCCCCAGTAGGCCATAGGAGCTCTGTCAGGGCACAGCAGTTTCCTGTTCATCTCTGTTTCCCCAACCCAGAGCACAGAGCTCAGCACATAGAAGGCACTTAAAATCCGTTTATTAAAATTGCTCTCAGTTTAAAAAATATATTCACTTTCTCAGGTGATGCCTTCACTCTAGCCAAGTACATTTTCAATATCTTTAATGCCTTCTGACAAGACATATACCTCTCCAAAGTACAGCAATACATTTACATTTCTGCAGACAAAATTGGGTATCTGACACCTGCTTTGCCCCAAACGCTATTTTCTATTGCAAGCTTTTGCCAAAACATCCCATAGTCTGGATTTAGGCTTAATAAGAAGGTATTGCAAAATAATAATAATGATGACATATTCTGAATTCAGCACCAAGCTGAGTCCCTAACTCTCTTGGTCCTCCTCGTGTGTGCAAGGGGCCGTGGTAGCATTGCCATGAGCAATAAAGCGCCTCAGCACAGAACAAATGACAACCTCACCAAGTGCCCTTCCTTTCTTTCTTCCTAGAGAGTTATAATTTTTTGGTTCTCATCATTTCTTATCATTTCTACATATCAGCAACAACCTCATTACTGAAAATATATCAGTTAAAATGATTAAAAACTCAGCCAGAAGTACCTCAGCATATTGTTATTTATACATATTATTATATAAGCTCACCTCTTAATGGAAGAATCCCACATCTGTCTTGTAAATAGGAAATGCCCCACCAGCTCCTGCTAGAACCCAAGGAGTCCCGCCTATGAATCCACTGTTGAGAGTAAGAACTAGGACTAACTTTCAGATGTTTGGTGGGATGTGAAGACAGCCCAGGGCTGGGGACAGTGGCACTGGGAAGGAACACAAAGGAATAGACCGAAGGATGCTTTGCAGAAATCAGTGGGATTCTGTGACAGTCTAGAGAGATACTAAAGGAAAAAGGGAAGAGAAGGATCAGAGATATCCTTGAAGAACTGTTCAAATCTGGGTTTTATGCTGAACTTCCTCACACACAAAGAGGGCATGATACATTCTTATGTTATTGGAGAGAAAATTATAGAGAGCTTCTATACCACATCAGAATTGTGTGATTGCTCCAGAACCAGAAACCCAATTTCCTATCTCTACAGGTTGAAGATTGCTGGTTTTTGTTTTGTTTTGTTTTGTTTCATTTTGTTTTTTGAGACGGGGTCTGGCTATGTTGCCCATGCTGGTCATGAACTCCTGGGCTCAAGGGATCCTCCTCACTTAGCCTCCCAAGTAGCTGGACCTGTATGTGTGCACCACCAAGCCTGGCTGAGAATTGCTTTTAAACCCAAACATTCAGGAAAATGTTTTGCAGATAAAAAGCATTAACATTACTCCCATCAGCACAGGAACAATTGTCTGGGTGACAGAGAACCTACTTTTCAATCTCCTGCTCTCTGAAGGCCCACTCCTTCCTCTCCATAGCATTCATCATCCTCCTCCTCTTCTCAAACTGGGAGGTGTCGCTCAGAGGGGGAAGAGCGGCTTCCCAAGCACGCTTCTCCCGGGCTCGTTCTATCATCTCCACCTCAGCCTGGCCTGCTGGGAGACCTCGACCTGGAGGATGAAGCAGCACGTCTCAGAAACAAACGGGCAAACCCACGTACCTGCCAGTATATAATTTACTCCCTTTCAGTTCTTATCCTCTTCTCTAAATCCAGGGGTTATGTATGATAGGATAAAATGATGTTAGAACACCTACAGATGTGCCTCAGAGCTTGTGCAGTCTGTGCCCTGCACTGCCTCTCGTTAGTGATTGAGCCATAAGACATTTGAATCCATCCTATACGTAAGATGCTGGAAGGAGTGGTCCAAGTGACCACCGAATAATCACAGCTTGGAATGCCCTGTAAGGAACAAAAGTACATTTTGAAATATAAGGAAATATCTAAGTCTTGAGGTGGGAAAATATGATGAGGGGTAGGGAATTTGTTAGACAAAGGTAAAAAATAGATACTTTTTTATTATAACA